GGCTTGGCTCAATGACCACAATGAAAACTCTGCAACAGCTTATTAATGCTAGCAAGTCCTGACCAGCATTTACAATAATTAGTCAATCGCTGTATGGCATTATGATTATGCTCAGATCCCTAAAGCAACATTTTCGAAGGCTAAAGAGCTGTGTTCAGTCTGGACCTGTCATGTAAGCGGATTAACTGGTTCAACACTCCATAAACAGGAGATATGAAACTCAGAGAGTTTCCATGTTGTTTTGTTTTCAAAAAAAGCAACCCCATGCACCATACAAAACCAGGGGCGGACTGACAACTCATGGGGCCCCCGGGCAATAGGGGATCATGGGGCACCTGTGTCCTTGCCCAAACTCAAAAAAGCCTATGAAAAAGGTACCAGGGGCATCTCATGGGGCCCCCTACTGACCCCGGGCCCTCAGGCAGTGCCCGAGTTTCCAAATGGTCAGTCTGCCCCTGTACGAAACTAATTGTTGGATTTGGGAGCTATCTCAATTGCTAAAGACAGACAGTCCAATTTATCTAAATTTTATATAACTCACTGCAGTCATGTTTCAAACAGCTCCTCACATGTAGGTGGAGGTCTCACTTCCTACACTTTGTGATGTGTATCTTCTTTCTTTGATGGGTGTAGCATGGGTTGCTAGCGACCATGGCAAGGCAAGTATTGTGCCCCTTACTTAGTGGACCATTAGCAGTCTGAGTCACCAGAATATATATATGACACATAGGAAAATATGTGCTTTCCCTTACCCTCAAATCCTCTTCCCCTTCCAGCACAAATCCCCTTTCTAGCATGAATCTCTCCTTCCAGCACAAATCCTCTCCCACCTTCTAGCATGAATCCTTCCCTTTCAACCACCCCTCCCCCTTCGAGTACAAAATCCTCTCCCCTCCAAAATTTCCTCCTAACACAAATCTGATTAATCACCCCCCCCCCCCCACTTACTCCTCCCGGCATAAATTTACCCCAAACACAAATCTTTGTTAACTGTCTCCTCCTCTTCCAGGACATATGGCCCTGAAACAGAGCTCAGATCACCAAGGCTCAATACAGGGGGACATCCTTCCTTCCAGCTCTTCCTCCTCTTGTGTATGAAATATGTCAGAGCTGAGGAGGAACCTAGCCAGGGGCGGACTGACAACTCATGGGGCCCCGGGGCAATAGGGGATCATGGGGCCCCTGTGTCCTTGCCCAAACTCAAAAAAGCCTATGAAAAAGGTACCAGGGGCATCTCATGGGGCCCCCTACTGACCCCATGCCCTCGGGCAGTGCCCGAGTTTCCAAATGATCAGTCCGCCCCTGAACCTAGCTTCTCTCAGTTCTGATGTCCATTGTTTTCACAGGCAGCTGACAGGGAAAAATGCCAGCTGCTGCAGAGGGGGAGAATGCGGCACTAGGGACTTGCGGAACCCCTCAGGAGATGCAGGGTGGGTGCCCTGGGAGCCCACTGCTAGCACCTCTGCCAGGTGAATTTGTGCATCCAAGTGGTGGAACTTGTTCTGGTACTGGGTTCTGGGATTTTGTTGAAATCCCAGGATGGTCCTATGGTTAGGAGGTATGATTTTGCTCCCCTAATATTTTGCGCCCAGGGAAACCACCCCTGTAACCGTGTCCAGGCTATGCCATTGGGTTAGAGTGAAGTGCACAGATAGGGTAGGGTTAGTATAAGGGCCACATGGAGGGTTAGTATTAGAACTACAGGTTAGGTTACAGTTGGCATTAGGGTTATAGGGAGGATTGGTTTGCTTTGGATTATAGGAAGGTTTAATTTTAAAGTGCTTTTTAGGCTAGGTTCACACCTATGCAGGTTGCCTTTGAGACATTTCTGCATTGCGTTTTGCATTTTTGCCACGTTTTTGATGCGTTTTGCATTTTTTTTTCTTACTTTTTTCTTGTTGCTAGGCAGATTTAAAACACAAAATGCACCAAAAACAAGGCAAAACCGTTTCCATTGAAGTCTATAGAAACAAAAGGCGCAACTTTTTGCGTTTAAAAAAGTCCCTGACCCTTTCCAAAAAATGCACCAGGTGAAAAAGGCACAGGTGTGAACATGTCCCATAGGAAATCATATTAAATGGAATGTACTGCGTTTCTGCAAAACGCTGCAGAAAATGCTTAGGCCCTGAACCTGTTGAAAAGGCTGAAGGTTTTTCACCTTCCCTGAAAGACTAATACTAACTCTAGCTGTAATGGTAATATTTCCTTTACCACTAACACTAATTATGCCTGTAACCTAAGTAACAATTAAAGTGATAATAACCTTTTTTTTTTTTTTTTTTTTTAATAAGAAGCATGTCATATCTACCTGCTCTGTGCAATGGTTTTGCTCAGGCCAGCTCTGATCCTCTTCTGTAATCCTCTTCTGTGCATGAAGGTTAATGTTAGGATTACAGGTAGGGTTAGTGTTAGGGTTAATGGGGGGGGGGGGGGTTAGTGTTAGGGCTACATGGATAATGTTGGGGTTACAAGGAGGGTTTGTGTTAAGATTACAGGAGGGGTTACTGTTAGGGTTACATGGAAGGATAGTGTTAGATTTACAGGGAAGTTTAGTGTTAGAGTTACAGGTAGGGTTAGTATTAGGACTCTAGGGAAGGATAGTGTTAGGGTTACAAGTAGGGTTAGTACTAGGGCTCTATGGAAGGTTAGTGTTAGGGTTACATGGAGGGTTAGTGTTAGGGTGTCAGGTATGGATAGTGTTAGGGTTACATGAAGGGTTAGTGTTAGGGTGTCAGGTATGGATAGTGTTAGGGTTACATGGAGGGTTAGTGTTAGAGTGTCAGGTATGGATAGTGTTAGGGTTACATGGAGGGTTAGTGTTAGAGTGTCAGGTAGGGTTAAGATTAGGGATACAGGAATGGTTTGTGTTAGGGTGTCAGGTAGGGATAGTGTTAGGGTTACAGGGAGGGTTAGTGTTAATGTTACAAGTAGTGCCTCCTATATAACTGTTTTTACATTTATATGGTGGTTACTGATCACTTCAGGGTGGTAGCTTAGTTTTTCTTTTGCATTATTTTATTTGGCGCAAGGTTTCTTTTTATTGTTAACAGGTAGGGATATTGTTAGGGTTACATGGAGGGTTAGTGTTAGGGTTACATGGAGGGTTAGTGTTAGGGTTAGTGTAGGGTTAGTGTAGGGTTACATAGAAGGTTAGTGTTAGGGTTACATGGAGGGTTAGTTTTAGGGTTACAGGTAGGGATAGTGTTAGGGTTACATGGAGGGTTAGTGTTAGGGTTACATGGAGGGTTAGTGTTAGGGTTACAGGTAGGGATATTATTAGGGTTACATGGAGGGTTAGTGTTAGGGTTACATGGTTATTGTTAGGGTTACAGGGAAAGTTAATGTTAGGGTTACAGAAAGGATTAGTGTTAGGGATACAGGAAAGGCTAGTGTTAGCTTTAGGGGTTACAATATTAGTTAGAGTTAAGGTGACCATACATTATACAATTTTCTTGTTCGATTTTCTTTAGATTTACCTTCAACTATGTAGTGCAAGGGCCTGTCTGATTGCGAGGTTTGACCTCATATTATATGATTTTGGTAAATCTTTTCTTGTACAAGAAAATTGTATAATGTATGGCCAGGCTTAAAGGAAGTGTTACGACAACTGCAAGGTTAGCATTATAGTTAGCTGCTTAAGGACCGCCTTATAGCAGATATACTGCTACAGGACGGCACCTGTGCACAGAATAATGTATGTATATGTAATCTTGCATTTCCGGGGAGGGGGTGCATGCCCTACCTGTGCCGCCATTCAAGGCGGCAGATGTCAATCTCCGGGTCCCAGCCGGTAATTACCCACCGGTGCCGTGACTACTGAGGTTCTCCAACGGGGAGGAAGATTTTTTGTTTACAAACAATCTTCCTCCCTGTCGGCTAGGGCACACTGCTCGGCATAGCTGTGCACAGTACAGCCATCCCGATCAGTGTGCTTACAGTAAAGCACATCCCCCGGCCCCCTAGTAAAACACTCCCAGCACACAGTTAAACCTTTGATCGCCCCTCACATTAACCCCTTCCTGCTCAGTGCCATGAGTACAGTGTCAGTGCTTTTTTTTTAGCCCTGATCATTGTATTGGTGTCACTGGAGTCTCAGTGACACCAAGTTAGCTCCCCCCCGCAGTGTCAGAATGTCCACAGTAGTCCCGCTAAAAGTAGCTGATTACTAGTAGGGGAAAAAAATCCCATTATCTATACCGCCATTTGTAAACGCTATAACTTTCACGTAAACCAATTCATTTACAGGTATTGGGATTCTTTTTAGCAAAGACATGGAGCAGAATACATTTTGGCCAAAATTTATGACAAAATTTAATTTTTACATTTTTTTTACTGGACATGTTTAATAGCAAAAAGTCCAAAATATTGTTTTTTTTTTCTCAAAACTGTCTGTCTTTTTTTGCTTATAGCGCAAACGATCAAATACCACTGAAAGAAAGCTCAATTTTTGGGAATAAAAGGACGTAAATTTCATCTGAGTCTGGCATTGCATGACCGCGCAATTGTCAGTTATAGTAACGCAGCATCGTAACTCAAAAAAAAATGACCTGGTCAGGAAGGGGGGTAAATCCTCAGGAGGGCAAGTGGTTAAGGAGGACTCATGTGAGGAGGACATCAGCACTATTTTCTATACATACTGGCCAGCAAGTGATCATATTGGGCAGCACAGTGGCTAAATGGTTAGCACGTCCACCTGGCAGTACTGGCATCATTGGTTCAAATCCCAACCACAGCACCACCTGCCTGGAGTTTGCATGTTCTCCTTGTGCCTGTGTGGGTTTCCTGCAGGTACTCTGGTTTCCTCCCACACTCCAAAGACATGCTGGTAGGTTAATTGGATCCTGTCTAAATTGGCCTTAGTATGTGTATGTATGAAGCAGGGGCGGACTGACCATTTGGAAACTCGGGCACTGCCCAAGGGTCCGGGGTCAGTAGGGGGCCCCATGAGATGCCCCTGGTACCTTTTTCATAGGCTTTTTTGAGTTTGGGCAAGGACACAGGGGCCCAGGGGCGGACTGACCATTTGGAAACTCGGGCACTGCCCGAGGACCCAGGGTCACTAGGGGGCCCCATGAGATGCCCCTGATACCTTTTTCATAGGCTTTTTTGAGTTTGGGCAAGGACACAGGAGCCCCATGATCCCCTATTGCCCAGGGGCCCCATGAGTTGTCAGTGCGCCCCTGCAGGGGACCCATGATCCCCTATTGCCCAGGGGCCCCATGAGTTGTCAGTCCGCCCCTGGTATGAAGGTAAGTTAGGGACCTTAGATTGTACGCCCCTTGGGGGTCAGGGACTGAAGTGAATGTACAATATATATGCTGTGTAAGTACCTGAAATAAATGAATATACACCCCATTAGACAAAAACCCACTAAAGTTGTCCATAGAAGTGAGCGAGCAGCTCGTGAACAATGTACCAAACTCCTCCAAGAGAACAAGTGTGATTTTTACTGGTCGGAGTGATGAGGATGATTCAGATCCGACATAAATGTCAGGGTGAAGTCACTGCCCAGTCAACCATAGCCTTTCCCATTCCAGGAATGATGATTGCAGCTTGTGGGAACAGGAAAGCCACAAAAAGGTAAGACTTTCATGAAGGTCACTTTTGTTGTGAGCATCGGGCCCATCCCATAATAAAAAGGAATGCTTCCTCTCTCCCTCACCATAGAATAGGGCAGTGCCATTTTAAAGGACAATGCATGACTCTGGACTTAAGCAACACAGGTGTGTATGAATGTTCAGGTCCTGATTCATCCCCCCTCCCTTCACACAACACCTGCCTGGGACTGTGGTGATTAAACAGCAGGGAGGAGAGAGGTCATATTATACCACATAATACACAAGCAATTGTCTGGGGCTTACACTTAATAGCTTAATAGGTGTTGATGGTTTTGTCTTTTAATGAAGTCAGGAGGCGACTTCCTGGGGAGCGAAGGCTGTGTGGTCAGAAGCTGAAATCTCTGACTCCAGTAAAATGCTGCTTGACTACTGAAATCATAGACTGGAGAAGGCAGCCGGAGTGTTAGCAGTTCGGGAAGATTTCTATAAAATCATCCTAGTGGTCTTCGCCTGCAGGGGCTCGCTCATATATGTGCTAGGACTTGTCACCCCTCTGAAAAGTGTTCTGCAATGGATCGCTTTTATTTATTTATTACAGGAACTTACATAGCGCCGTCAATTTATGCAGCACTTTACATGTGTGTGTGTATATATATATATATATATATATATATATATATATATATTATTATACAGGATTTATCTCCAACAGTTTGCTCAGGGCTTTACATGTGTGATATATACAGGGGCAGACTTACAACTCATGGGGCCCACGGGCAATAGGGTATCATGGGGCCCGTGTCCTTGCCCACACTCAAAAAAGCCTATGAAAAAGGTACCAGGGGCATTTCATGGGCCCCCTACTGACGGCAGTGCCCGAGTGCTCGAATGGTCAGTCCGCCCCTGGATGGATGGATATATATATATATATATATATATATATATATATATATATAAAGTTTTTAAATTATTATTATTATTATACAGGATTTATATAGAGCCAACAGTTTGCTCAGTGCTTTACAATATAAAGGGAGACAGTACAGCAACAATACAGTTCAATAAAAGAGGGTTAGGATATAATAATAACAATTTTTTATATATATACATATATTATACAGGATTTATATAGCACCAACCGTTTGCTCAGCGCTGTAATGTGTGTTTTATTTTATATATATATATATATATATATATATATATATTTATTTATTATTATACAGGATTTATATAGCACCAACAGTTTGCTCAGCACTTTACAATATAACGGGAGACAATACAGCAACAGTACAGTTCAATACAAGAGGGTTAGGAGGGCCCTGCTCCTTGGAGCTTACAATCTAAGAGGGAGGGGCTAGTGGTACAAAAGGTAGTAACTCTGGGGCATGGACTGGTAGGAGGAATAGAAGCGAACTGCTGTGGCTAGCCATGCATTATACAATTTTCTTGAGATTTTTGGTTTAGATTTACCAAAAACCATACAATAGGAGGTCAGAACTAACAACACTTTCAATTGTATCCAATTAGGCAAGCTCTTGCACTTCATAGTTGAAGATAAATCTAAAGGAAATTGGGCAGATATTGGATAGAAAATTGTATAGTGTATGGCCAGCCTTAGGATGGCCATACACTATACAATTTTCTTACAATGTTCTGTTCGATTTCAGTCCAATTTCCTTTAGATTTACCTTCAACTATGTAGTGCAAGGACCTGCCTAATTGGATACAATTGAAAGTGTTGTTTAGGTTTGACCTCATATTATATGGTTTTTGGTAAATCTAAAGCAAAATTCTCAAGAAAATTGTATAACGTATGGCTGGCCATACCCTATACAAGTTTCTGTCCGTTTTCCTTTAGATTTACCTTCCACCAGGGGTGGACTGACCATTTGGAAACTCGGGCACTGCCCAAGGGCCCGGGGTCAGTAAGGGGGCCCCATTAAATGCCTCTGGCACCTTTTTCATAGTCTTTTTTGAGTTTGGGCAAGGACACAAGGGCCCTTATTGCCCGGGGGCCCCATGAGTTGTCAGTCCACCCCTGCCTTCCACTATGTAGTGCAAGAGCCTGCCTAATTGGATACAATTGAAAGTATTGTTTAGGCTGGCCATACATTATACAATTTTCTTGAGATTTTTGCTTTAGATTTACCAAAAAACGTATAATACGAGGTCAAACCTAAACAGCACTTTGAATTGTATCCAGTTAGGCAGGCATTACATAGTTGGTAAATCTAAAAGAAATTGGGCAGACATTGGACAGAAAATTGTATAGTGTATGGCCAGCCATATAGTGGCCATACATTATACAATTTTCTTGAAATTTTTTGTTTAGATTTACCAAAAACCATATAATATGAGGTCAAACCCAAAACAACAATTTCAATGGTATCCAATTAAGCAGGCCCTTGCACTACATAGTTGAAGGTAAATCTAAAGGAAATTGGGCAAAAATTGAAAAGAAAATTGTACAATGTATGGCCAGCCTTATGCAAGCCATAGATGAGTTGAAAACTGGCTGTTTTTTAAAAAAAAAAAAAACAAAACGAAAAATTGGTAGTTCAATAGGCCAACGTTACCACCAACGGTAAAATAATCGGCCGATTTTCGTCCCGTCTATGGCCGGCATTTAATTACTTCTGTCCCTGCAGAGAGCCCCGCTATTATATTTGACATGAAAAAGTATTGCAGTTGCATCATTGTATCTATTTGTATCCATTTTGGATACAGATGTTTTTATTCGGATACAAATAGATACATTGTTGCAGCCGCAATACTTTTTCATGTCAAATATAATAGCGGACTGGAATTCTTCTTCTTCTTTCTCTTTTTCTTCTTCTTCTTCTTCTTTTTCTTTTACTTCTTCTTTTTCTTGCAGGTCACAGCTCATGCGCAGATTTTTTATCAGTAAAAAGATCGTCCGATTTGCCCATTATTGCCGCGAGATTCAGCCAATAGGCAAAATCGGACGATTTTTTGCCAACTTTACCGATAAAAAAAAATGTGCCAAAATCCAGAAAAAAATGGCCGACCAATTAACCCATTAACAGTGTGAAAATCGGCAGATTTTTTTTTTTTTTTTTCTGCCGACAAATTGGCTGATTTTCGACCCATCTATGGCCTGCATTAGGTTTGACCTCCTATTATATGGTTTTTGGTAAATCTGAAGCAAAATTCTCAAGAAAACTGTATAATGTATGGCCAGCCTATATGTTCAACCACCAGCAGACCACCCACCCGCCATGTACTGCGAATGGGTGCCACCAGCGATGTACCTGTATGTTGCTGGCCTCTTGTACAAGGTGCGTGAATTTGTCAGCAGCTCCCGGCCAATCACAGCCCAGAGCCCCAGTGTTGACAATCAAGGTAAAGAAAAAGTTTTGGCTTTAGAGCCACTTTTAAAACATTTTCTAACCCGTGGGATCTGAACTGTAGAACTTCCTATGAATTTTAGCTGACTAAAATAAAGAGTACCTCCTAGGATCACTGTGGGACTGCGGAGCATCAGTCTTCCTCCAACGCGCTACAAATATGTCCCTGGGTCGCCATCTCGCTCTTGTAATACGCAGATCTCTCCGAAGACCCGATGGAGGCTCTGCCTGCCGTACCTCGCCGTATCTTCAGTGTGACCTCATTAACTTGCGTACAATACAAATTAGACTCTACTCGGGGACCATCTGCGGCTTATGAAAAACGGAATCAGTCTGGGCTAGGCTTGCTCGGGGACCCTCCGTACTCACATGTAAAGGAAGGAAACTTTCTTCCAGCACGTTGGGGACCGCCGTCTGAATGCCACCAAGAAATTAGGCACTTTTCCAGATCAGCCTAACAATGCAGGAAATTGGCTGCAGCCTACAAATTGTCACCCCCTTAGCGATGATAATTCTGCTGTATGGGAAGGGACAGAGTTATGGATTGCCTCCTCCACGGCCCTGGTGCAGGCTTTCTGCATTCTTATTTCAATTAGTGGCGAAGGAGGGCTTGAGTTATTGTGCCGCGGCGTTCTTGCTGTGCGGCGCCATTGATTCCATTGAAGGGAAGGCTGGAAGGGAGAATTCCAGGATGGAAACACTCAGGGAACTTGTATCTACAGACCCCAGGGGCATTGATTGCACCTGGATGGCTCATAAGTCTTCCAGGCCCTGTCTGCGTTCCAGCAGATGGATGGATTCATATAGGAACGCGTTTTGTATACTGGGCTTTAACCCCTTCCTAACCCTATTCAGTAGAGCTTCCGCAGCAGCAGCCGGGACACATGCCGAGGAGTGCAAATAGCTAAGACATTGTAGTCGAAGAGGTATTCAACTCAAAAGCAAACATTTATTTTATTGGAGCTTACCAATTCCTAGATGTGATGGCTGCATTAGATTTCTTTTTTTACCCTAGGATTACACCCAGGGGCGGACTGACCATTTGGAAACTGCCCGAGGGCCCGGTGTCAGTAGGGGGGCTCCATGAGATGCCCCTGGTACCTTTTTCATAGGCTTTTTTGAGTTTGGGCAAGGACACAGGGGCTCCATGATCCCCTATTGAGGGCCCGGGGTCAGTAGGGGGCCCCATGAGATGCCCTTAGTACCTTTTTCATAGGCCATTTTTTTTTTTGAGTTTGGGCAGGGACACAGGGGCCCCATGATCTCCTATTTAGGGCCCGGGGTGAGTAGGGGGCCCCATGAGATGCCCCTGGTACCTTTTTCATAGGCTTTTTTGAGTTTGGGCAAGGACACAGGGGCCCCATGATCCCCTATTGCCCGGGGGCCCCATGACTTTTCAGTCCGCCCCTGATTACACCCAAGCGTTTTCCGCAGCATTTTGCAGAAACACACTACAGTCCATTTAACCCCTTGGCGCCGGCCCCTCCCGGCCCTCAGAAGCCGGGAGGCGGGGTTTAGGGTCATGTGACCGCCGTGACAGACCGGTCACATGATTGGGAAAGGTCCCAATCGAAAGAGGAGATCGGGACCTTTCCGTGAGTACCGAACTTGTGTGCTGGGAGCGCGCTCTCTCAGCACATATGTTTTTGCTTATAGAACGCTGTCTAGGACCAGATGCTGGAAGGCCACACATTTGCGTTCGGCCGGCGCCAAGAGGTTAACATGATTTCCTATGGGACACATTCACATCTCTGTGTTTTCACCCGGTGTGTTTTTTGGAAAGGGTCACAGACTTTTTTGAATGCAAAAAGCTGCATTTTTGGTTCTATAGACTTCAAAGAAAAAGCTGCAGAAAAGCATGTAGTGCGTTTTTTTATATGCGTTTGCCACGTTTTTGATGCGTTGTAAAAAAAAAATGCAAAGTGCGGCAAGATCGCATGTGCAAAAAGGCAAAACGCACTGCAGGAATGGGTCAAATGCAAACTGCATAGGTGTGAACCTAGCCTTAGGCTTTCTTTCCTTTATTGTCATCTGGTGATCTGGCCAGTAAGTCTGTTGTTTTTCAAAAGAACATGCTATCCTACAAATGTAGCAGTTGGAGGAGTGAGATAAACCATTTACCACTAACAGCAATGCCTACAATGGTCAGCTTTTATTTATTTAGGTAAAACCTTTATCCCAAAAAGAACAAAAAAAACTGTTGCTGTAAGGCCCCTTTCACACAGGCGTTCCGTATGTCCATTTTTCATCTGTCCGTTTAGGAACACAAAACTGACACTCATGTATTTCTATGGACTAGTGGGTGTAAACGGATGATCATCTGTTTGCATCCTTTAAGGTATGCATACTTTAACATCCGTTTTTTTGAATGGAAGAAAACCCTATTTGTCTTTTTCTAAAAAAACGGAATGGACGAAAAATGGATGTAAACGGACAAAAAAAGATGTAAACGGATGTTAACTGACAAAAAAAGATGTAAACGGATGTAAACTGCCAATAAATGGATGCAGTGGTTTAGCACAGAGCCTAGACCCTCCTTGTCTCAGGTCCCCCAACAACAAGTGCCCCCATAGCATGCAGCTTGTCGAGTCCACAAACCATATTATATCTGAAAATTAATCAATCCTGATGTAGTGATGGCCTAGCTCATTTCTTGAGACCCGAAAATGCCAGGACAGTACATATACCCCCCAAATAGCCCATTTTTGGAAAGTAGATAGTCCCAAGGTATTTAGTAAGAGGCATGGCGAGTTTTCTGAAGTTGTATATTTTTGGAAAATGAAGAAATGAAAAAAAAAAATTTTTTTTCACATTTTTTTAACATACTGACAGTGCAGTACAGCGTCGTTATGTGGTGATCAGGAATACTGACTGGTGACAGTATGTAAAAAACAAAATATATAATAATTATTTTATCTTAGTAATAATTATTTTTCCATTTTGTTTTTCCTTTTTTATACATTTTTTTCTACTTTTAACGATTTTTTTTAAGATACTGTCACCTGAGCAATACAGTATTACCATATTAACACTGTACTACTCTGGCAAAGTGATCAGCACTTTTTTTTTATACATTTTGATTGCTTATACAAGTGAATTTCAATGGTATAAACAACCATTTTACTGCATGAAATTGATTCATTCAGTGTGTAATCTTGTGATTCCCTGTGATTGGTCACAGCTGATCACATGGTACAGATGGGCTGTGATTGTCCCTGTCTGTACCATGTAATCACTGTGAACAATCGCAGCAAGCAACACAATTGTACACAATGAATGGCATGAATCACAGTCATTTATTGTTTAAAATTGTCATGTGATCTGCTATAATTGGTAACAGCGATCACATGGTACCAGCAGCAGCCAGGTACAGTGAGATGTCATTGGCTGTGTCCAGATCATGCTGAGGGACGTTTCCGAAGGACATCATTGGATGTCCACCTGGAATGGCTATCATTTTAGAAAGGGCTGAAAGGGAAGTGGTTAAACCCAAAACAAAAAATGTTATATATTGCAGCTTGCCAACCAGTAGATGTGGTGGCAGCATTCATTTTTTTTTTTTTAGGTTTTTCCTTCTGGTTTCACCTGGTGAGCATATCACAGCAGTCCTCAAAGCTGAACTCCGATAAAATATTTTGTTTAAAAATCAATTTAAGGCATTTATTTAAATCATGTATGAATAAAATGTACTTGATTTCAGCCTATTTTAATATCTTATACAGCAGTGCACAGTCTGGGAAAGGAAGGAATAGCACTTGGGGCCAATCACATGTGCTACATTCACATTTGTTGGCAAGGAACATGCTGATAGAAGGAATGTGCAGAGAGATGACCTCCTCAGTCTGTTGCTGTTCCTTTAATGTCAAATCACAGGAGAGGTGACCTAGGTCTGTCTCCTAACTTCAGCTAAGAAAGGTCAGGTCACCATCCTGGTTCTGCTGTCCAATAGGTATATATTATACCATATATTTTAATGTATAAATACGTACACTATATTCCCCAAACTATTGGTCGGCCTGCCTTTATACGCACGTGGACTTTCATGGCACCCCAGTCTTAGTCCGTACTGTTGAATATTGAGTTGGCCCCGCCCTTTGCAGCTATAACAGCTTCAACTCTTCTGGGAAGGCCGTCCACAAGGTTTAGGAGTGTGTCTATGGGAAGGTTTGACCATTCTTCCAGAAGCACATTTGTGAGGTCAGGCACTGATGTCGGATGAGAAGGCCTGGCTCACAGTCTCCACTCTAATTCATCCCATAGGTGTTCTATGGGGTTGAGGTCAGGAATCTGTGCAGGCCAGTCAAGTTCCTCCACCCCAAACTCGCTCATCCATGTCTTTATGGACCTTGCTTTGTGCACTGGTGCGCAGTCATGTTAGAACAGGAAGGGGCCATCCCCAAACTGTTCCCACAAAGTTGGGAGCATGAAATTGTCCAAAGTGTCTTGGTATGCTGACGCCTTAAGAATTCTCTTCATTGGAACTAAGGGGCCAAGCCCAGCCCCTGAAAAACAACCCCACACCATAATCCCCCTCCACCAAACTTTACACTTGGAACAATGCAGTCAGGCAAGTACTGTTCTCCTGGCAACTGCCAAACCCAGACACATCCACAGGATTGCCAGACAAAAGCGTGATTGGTCACTCCAGAGAACACGTCTCCACTGCGTTACACCACTGATTCCCACGCTTTGCATTGTACCTCGTGATGTAAGGCTTGGATGCAGCTGCTCAGCCATGGAAACTGCTCTACACACTGTTGTTGTGCTAATCTGAAGGCCACACCAAGTTTGGAGGTCTTTAGCTATTGACTCTGCAGACAGTTGGCGACTTCTGCGCACTGTGAGCTTCAGCATGCACTGACCCCGCTCTGTCATGTGACGTGGCCTACCACTTGGTGGCTGAGTTGCTGTTGTTCCCAGTTGCTCTCACTTTGTTATAATCCCACTAACAGTTGAGCGTGGAATATTTAGTAGCCAGGAAATGTCACGGATGGACTTATTGCACAGGTGGCAACCTATCACAGGACCACGCTTGGAGTCACTGAGCTCCTGAGAGCCACCCATTCTTTCAGAAATGCTTGAAGAAGCAGTCAGTACTTTTGGCAATATAGTGTATGTAATGGAAGGGAAAAAAAAGATTGTGCTGAGGGCTATGTGTATCTGTGAGAGTCTTGCATGTGGCACAACAGTTAAAGTGATTCTAAAATAAAAAATGTCTTTTAGAAAAATATAAACATGTCATATTTACCTGCTCTACAAAGCAGCCCTGGTCGTCCTCTTTTTGGGTCCTGTGTCCCTGGCTCCCCCCCCCCCCCCCCCCCCCCCCCCCGTTGAATGCCCTTCTATGTGCCCATTCACACACAGAGTGCCACTCAGCCCCGCCTCCCCTCATCTTTCCACATTGGCTCACTGGCTGTGATTGGCAGTAGGAACTGGTTTTCAAAAGTTTTTTTACCTTAATCCATAGAAATCATCATGGAAAAAACCCTTGAGACTTTAGAACAACTTTAAAGCGGAGCTCCACCCAAAAGTGGAACGTCCGCTTTAAGCCTTTGTCCCCCGCTCCCCATTAAGCATTGGCACCTTTGGGGAGCGGGTACCCAAATTTGTCAGGTACCCACTCCCACTTTCTCTGCGATCGCTTAGGCGATCGAGAGCGGAAGTTGTCCTCCCATCCTCTCTCCCCACGTGGCCCCAGAAGACTATGGGGCCATTCACAAAGTGCAGAGCTTCTCGCACATGCACAGTGGGCACCTGGCTGTGAAGCCGCAAGCAGTCACAGCCGGGTAACAACACTGAAGATGCCGGCACCAGGGAGAGAAGACAGCCGGTGAAACCAGCCATGGTGAGGACACCACTGGACCGAGGGACAGGTAAGTGGCTGTATTTTAAAAGTCAGCAGCTACAGTTTTTGTAGCTGCTGACTTTTTTTTTTTCAGCTGGAACTCCTCCTTAAAGCATAAAGCACAACAACAAAGCAGAACGAGTAGTCCCCGACTATTTTAACAAATTTCTTTTTTTAGGGTGAGTTTGAACAAAGTGTTAGCTTTAGGTCTGTATTCTATGTAAAGACGTGCATATATAATGAAAGAAAAAAAATATTGTGCTGAGGTTTATGTGTGTCTGTCACAATAGTTAAAGCATATTTTGTAGGAACAAGGCATAAGGTATTCAGTGAGTATGCTGAGGTTCTGTTTAAATATGCCCTTTGCCCCCCTCCCCACTGTCAGAGCAATTTGGCATCCCCAGCACACTGCATTGTTGCCCTGCTTATTGTGTCCAAGTGGGCCCCTGGTCAGTCTTTTAAAGGATCCTGCCTAATGGAGGTGCTCAAATTATAGCTTTCCATGTCTTGTAATAGTTTAACTATTTTAAATTAAACACAGGTTC